GTTTAATTTTAGATTTACATAACGATCAACAAGGTTCATTTTTGTAATTAGCACAAGTCCATGGTTTGTACTATTTTACTGATTAATTAAAACCAGTAAATGCATTTAAAGGACAGATTTAACAAAATCCCGTTTTTGGAAACCAATAATAAAGAAAGATTTAAGAAGAGGACGATCCAACTAAATTGAGTTGTCAAATTAATTTGTCTTTTGCAACCATTACCTAAGCGCTCAATCTAGACAACAATTTGTGATCGTTTTTCCAGTTTGTTTTTCAGGTTTAGCTAGAAAGCAATAGTAACTAACTGTAATACTTGGGTTTCAAAGTCTCTGAGCTACAATAGTTCAATGAATATATGGTGGTTCAATAAGCATAACAATGGTTCAAAAACCGCATAGTTGCCTTTTATTATAGGTTATTATTGTTATTATTATTATTACAAGTGATACCGGTAAAAGTAAATTATAATTATTTTACACTACATAAAGTTTATATAAAGTTTAAACCTTAAAATAATTTGATCAAAAACGGTTAAAACTTCGTCTTTCTTCGGTGCCAGGATGAAGGGCAGAGGCTGGAGTTAAAGGGGAAAGAAAAATGGTATGTGGATGAGGTGAAGACGGTAAAAGCGATAGTAGGAACTGTTGTTGGGACTAGGACAAGATTATTAACAGTGGAATACAAGCAATGGAAGGGTCTCCGAGGTAGCGATTATTTATCGAAGCAACGAATGAAGACGCAGGTGAGAGGCGGCTTGCTGATTGTGTCTGAGATAAGAGAGACTTTGAGGCTTTTTATGAGGCTTGTGACGGAACGGGATATGTTGCACGAAAAGGACTATATAGCAAAAATACCCAAGGCAAGGGAGGATGAAGATAGTATGGCGTTCCAGAGGGAGTGCCATGGGGATTCGACTAATCTACATAAATTCACATCAAGAGAGGCTTTTTTGGAACAACGCGAGATACTAAATTACGGGGATGGCCTTGTACCTAGAAGATATGGTATTACTGGTGAAAGAGAGAGACAAAGAGAGATGTAGCAACAAACAGAACTTCCTTTATTGCAATATTCTCATTCAATAATTAATTAACGCATCGTGAAGCGACCAGTAAAATACTCCGCCATGCTTAGGGACGCATCAGTGCATTGCAGGCTCTCCTTATAATTAGAATACACCACGTGGCTTTAATTTCACTGTGTCACAGCCCGACCGCCGAGACGACCTACCCGGGTACGCTTGTAACGGCTTGTCAACCAAAACCGGCTCACCTTCGATTCCTCGCACTTTCAGCTAACGCCAAACCGCCAAACTACATGGTGGAAACAGCGGGAGAATTACCACCTTTGCCACCGGTTTCGGCAGAACCGCCTGCTAACCCAGACCATCCAGCAGAACCTCTCGCAGAACCGGCGGCACAACCCACAGCTGCTAATCAGTTAATTTCTAGGTTCTGGTGCATTTTGCTCGTTCTAAGCTTTAGTTAACCGTTGTACAATGCGTTTTGTGTCTTTTCTCCACCGTTTGGGTTATTTGGTTTTCTTGCAAGTTTTGCTACTACCTTGTTTAGCATATTCAACGTTCCACGTGTCCCTAGGGCATAATTTTGGTTTTTCATTTGCCTCCTTTTGTTACTGTTGTTCGTACACTTAGTTCATTTTAGTTCGTCCTTTTTGTTTTGCCTTGTTTTTGTTCCTTTCGGCTCTGGGAGCCGTTTTTGTCTGGAAGGAAATATTTTTGTTTGTGTCTGCCGTCCGGGACCGCTTGTCTCCGGGAGCCGGTTTTGTTTCGGAGAAAATAGTTTGGGGTATACGGTCCAAGACCGTTCGGCTCTGGGACCCGGGTTTTTGTTTAAAACCAAGTATTAGTGTATACGTCCGGGACCGTTTGGGGGCCTCATCTTTGTTTGGGACGAATTTTTGTTGGTTCGGCTCCAGGAGCCGGTTTTCTTTTCTTTGGAACGAAATATTATTGTGTTTGCGGTCTGAGACCGTTCGGCTCCGGGAGCCGGTTTTGGTCATATACGGCCCGGGACCATTTAGCTTTGAAGGAGAAACGAGGCGTTGACGTTGTCACCGCTGCTCTTACTTCCGTTCGCAACGCTCTTCAGAAGCCGGAAACTGTATATGACCTAAGGCTTCTGCTTATGTCGAGGCCCTGGGTCGAGCAGCCAGGTCATCTACCCACGAAAAGGCGGACTAATACGCAGCCATTCAAGGCCTTCAAGGTCGTAACAATACGCGCTAGTTTAGGCGCCAAAGCCTTTATGTTCACAGTCCGGTTAATTGCTATAGATGTGGCCTAACAGGGAATTTCACCAGGGCTCGTGGCCGCGAATGCGGCCGCGGAAACTCTAGGCGTTAGCAAATGATGTAAGTGTTGTAAAGCCATGGGACGCGTTTTCTCTTTGTCCGTTTTTTGTACCTCTGGAATTTATGTAACATTATTTTACACTCTCGCTCGTTTCTCATAAGGACGGAGTCGATAGACATGCCTTTTTCTATGAGCTTTGTAAAGGGCGGTATTTGTTTCTACGATTTGTATTTTTTCTTAATTACCCTTATTTAATTGCTAGAATAAAGATTTCCCCAGTTATTAGCGTCTCAATCTTTTTCAGGTTATTGCCTCATTTCTTCGTTGACCCTGGGGGGCCTTTTCAGCGCCTTTATTCTGGTCATTGGTCAGAGCTGGGGTCAACGAAGGATAAGGGGATCCCACCTTCTTTTTCTTTATTTTCTTATTTTTATAGTTTTGTTCTCTGTTTTGCCAGGATTTCGCGGTTGCGCTACGGGCAGTCTTTGCGTTCCCGAGCCCTGACGTCAAATGGTGTGACAAAAAGAAAGGAACCCTTATTTTTTGGCCCCACTGTATAGGCGGCGCTTGTGAGTAAAAGATACATCCTTCGCTGACCTGGCCCAATTGCGTTTTAGACACCCAGATTATTACCAAGCAGGCAGTTTACATAATCATGTTGATTTCTGGGAGGATCTCATTTTTTCAACTGGTTGCACTTGTCCTCAAGTTTATTTGCTACAGACAATCCGAGAGGGAGTGAGAGTTGATAGTTTCTTCCGTCATTTCAAGGGCAACTTCAAAGGAAAACGTTATGACTCTGCTGTTCCGCCAATTTCTTTTTTCCCGAAATCTCCTTGTTGCCATCAGTTAAGGTAACTCGACCCAGTTATTTTGTGGGGGTACCATCCTACTTTGAATCTCCCTAGTATCCCCACCTTTACTTTGATCTTAAGTCTAACATATAGCTTGGCTAACATATAGATCAATTTACAATACAGCATAAAATTCTCGGCGATCGGAGTAAATGTCACGTGGTTATAGTGCCACGCTTCTTTGGGGACTGAGTCGAAATTCTGCTGTTGCCGGCATTTTTTTCGTGAAAATCTATCGGCTACATATAGTGTGCATTAGTGCCTTGCGTTGAACAGAGTTTCACCAAAATCGCAAAGACCCAATGCGAGAAATTCAGCGGTTTCAGTTTTAAATGTAGGCCATAATTTATGTGAAAATGATAAGCGAACTTGACACGATTATATCTAATAAACATGAGATTTATCCCTTTGTTTTGGGGATCTTCATAACAGGTGGGTCCTTGCAAGTCAGCAAAAAGCTTTAGGGCCTTGTAAATGCGAGCGATTTCGAGCAATGCAAACATATAGGAATTATATTTTTAGCTATTTGTTGACGTTTGCCAGCGTTTAAGAGTCCTTCTCACGAAAAAAGCATTTTCCTAAAAATTCGCATTTTTTTTCCTTCAAATTGGGTCTTTGCGATTTGGGTGAAACTCTGTCCAACGCAAGGCACTAATGTGCATTATATGTAGCCGAGAGATTTACACGAAAAAATGCCGGCAACAGCAGAGTTTCGACTCAGTCCCCAAAGAGGCGTGTCAGTGCAGCGTTTTCGAAATTTTCTTGCAGTTCTCCCTCCCCCCACCCTATACAAAGTTGAAACTCGGAAAAAAATTCTGGATACATACATCCAACATTGTTTGTGGTGTGAGGGGAGGGGTTGGACCTGTGTGAATTGGAAAACACCCAGAAATGCAAAAGTGTCCTAAGACTTTTGTTTATGATTGTCTGAAAAAGACATAGGAAGAATATAAGGCAATTTTGAGGGGTTTTCATGCCTGTAAAAGTGTGTTTTCGGGATCCTGATGAAAGATCGTAATTGAACAAATCTTTTCCTAGCTTTTCGGAGGTTTCTGAAGGTGATTTAAGAATTCGCTCGACAGGAATGATATACACCAGAAATTGTGGAATCTCATAACGCGTCCTTTATTTTAAAGGATAACATAACTTTAAACAAGCCTCACCTCAGAAAAGGGTTAAGGGAAGCAACGAGTTACTAACATTATGGTGTACACAGTAAGAATTTCGGCAGGCCAAGGAGCTAGAGTCGTGGATATACGACAAAGCACGAGGTCATTTACCTGGTACTCAATATGAGCACGAACGTCAAAAAATCCAGTAGGCTTGGTAGAGAAAATAACAACGTATTCCAAAAGACTGAACGGCCGTGAAAAAATATTAAGCCACGTGAATAGCTGTCCCTGTCATTTATTCAAAACAAAAATACGACATGCAATTGTGATGTAAGAAAAAAGCGGTTGTTTCATAATACGTGTCAGGTTCGTGGCAAAACAGTTTTTCGCTGTCTTGTAGGGAATTGTACAGGATCATTTTTGGTTTGAAAGTGTTGCTAATATGTATATGTGTTTATTTGCCATCAAAAATTACGTTGCGTGATATCTGTCACGAACTAAGTAAACAACCAAGCGAGTTTACTTTGAACTGATTTCCATAGCTGGAGAGTACGCACCAACAGTACTCACTCTAAGAACTTAATAAAGTGTGCTTTTCCTATACAATCTTAACATCTTGGGAATGGTGACAGAAAATTTATCTGTAGATTCATCCTTGACGCTTGTATTTACAGCGAAAACGCAATTTTTAGCTCTTTAGTCACAGTTCTCACTTTGAAATGGAGAGAAAGAAGAACAAGATAATTTTTCCTTACTGGATCAAGTGAGTACTATTTTATTCACTTTACGGGATGGCCTTTTTGACTCAGATTATTTCAAATGCAATTACGTGTTTCCTTAATGAATTTGTAGCAAATATTGATAATACACTGTGCTTTTTCGACCGAGTACTGTGCACGATGCTCGAAACATTGTGCCTGACCAACTTCCGCTGTACTGGGCTCCAGTTTAGTGGAGTGGGCCCGATATGGCTAATCAGGGAATTGCCCTGTAAAAACTTGCAATGTTGAGGAAATACTTTCAAAGGTCATTATTATTTCATGTGATTATCTACTTGTCTCCAAAATGCCTAAAAAGCATAGAAAAAGTGAAGAAAACAGACTTTTTCAAACAACAAGGATTCAGATAATCCTGGGCAAACGTCCTTGGGATAGTACCGCAATATTCATATTTTTCTGTTATTTCTCCTTTCCCTCTTTAAACAGTTCAGCGTTTTCAAAATTTTCTTGCAGTTCTCCCTCCCCCCACCCTATGCAAAGTTGAAACTCAGAAAAAAATTATGGATACACGCGTCCAACATTGTTTGTGGGGTGAGGAGAGGGACTGGACCTGTGTGAATTGGAAAACGCCCCAGAAAAGCAAAAGTGTCCCAAGACTTTTGTCCATGATTGTAGGCCTTACTATGGGATCTGTGCGCTTTTCGTTGTACCTGCTCCTGTTAAGCCGTGTATATAGATCGAACGCACGTGGGAGCCTGCCTACAGATGTCCCGCCTGCTCTTATTTAAACGACAGTGACGCGAACTTTTGCCAAGCCTGCGGTAAACCTACGTCGCCTGAGCTAACGTAAGGGGCCCGTTCAAATGCAGACATGCCTCTGATCAACTTTTAAGCGCTTTACAGAATTCCAAGAATCGCTCAGAAACAAACCTTTTGAACGGCAAAAGGATTCATTAGAAGTTCAGCTATCGAGTTTCTTACGCTCTCTTGTACACCCAAAGAAATTTTCTGCTGCGATCGCGGAAGACATCGTAAAGTTTTTGATTAGCATTGATGCCGCGGAAAAACAAAAACTCCATATAGGCTCAAGCTCTAGTAAGACCTGTAGTTGCCCTAAGCGTCTAGCGGCCGGAACTGTCGATTCATATATAGGAAAGCTTAGATCGATTTTCAATAGGTTAGGCCGTACAGGGTTTTCTAACCCGTTAGCACATCCTTGTGTTAAAGAATATCTTATGTTTGTAAGAGAGGAGCAAGCTCAGTGACCTTTGTAACCTCGTCAGCAGGCTGTCTCTTTGTTCTATGACAAATTCACCCGTTTAATTGCCTATCTTCGCGGGCTTATTGCCGAAGGCTCTGTGCTTACGTACTCCTCTCAATAGATACCTCCTGGTCAGAGATATAACATTCTTTGTTACAGACTTTTACACCGGTGATAGAGCATCCGATCTGGGCCGTTTAAAGGCAGATGAGCTTTTTCGCCTTAAGGATAGGGAGGGGTTCCTTCTTAACTTAACGTTTAGTAAAACGAGGTGTGCATGTCAGTTACGCCCCTTTTGCTCTGTTACGCGGTATACCAAATGTATCTGTCTGCCTAGTTTTTTGGCTGAACTATTATATTGCCGCATGTGGGACGTTAGGTGTCCCTCACGAGCTGCAAGGTCGATTTTCGTGCACGCACCAGGGATCCTTAATTTCCATGGAGATACCCACAAACTGGACTCAAGTAACTACAAGGCGTTAGTCTTGACACATTTCCTTGCGCACCTCAGGTGTTCACATTAATCGCTTTCTGTCAGTTCATCTGTCAATAAACTCATTTTAGGACAGGACACAAATTTGCGTCAAATATCAGAGCTTGTCTTCTGCGCGCCGAATGTATACCATCGGAGCGAGATATTTTAATTCAGCTATGGTTGTCGTCAAAATCACTTGATGAAAATACTTAAATTCATGGTTGGTGTTAAAAAAGGGTCTTGGTGCAAGTCTTGGAAAAAAAAGAAATATTTTTTTCGTTTCTTAAGCGAAAGGCAAAATCTAGCGCTTTATGAAGGTCGAATTCGAACCCTCCAAAGTAATAATTATTCGGTACGTTACCTGGTAAGCTACATATTGTCGCCGAAATGGTTTCAAAAGTTCAACGTGAAGAGTTCTGGATGTTATTTTGCATTATGTTCGAAGGACAGAAACTGTGTTCGCCGATATAAGGTAAGAGAGACCTTTATTATTTAAAAGGTAGAGGAGCAGCTTGTTATGGCTCTCGCATGCGGAGTTCGAGCACATCGGTGAAGCCGGTTTGACGACACTGAGGAAAACAGAGGAAAATATTTACTTGCCTTTGGTATTGTGTATATCCTCGATCACTATACAATAACGCACAAATATTATAATTCAAAGGGCATTTACAACACGCGCCAAAAGAGCCGTGATCCCGCCAAAATGCTCGAACCATCTAACAGAGTGTAAAAAGGAGGCTGGTAGGCAACACACGACTTTTACCTCGTGCCAAAATGCTGCTTGTTCCAAAAATTGTTTTCTCTGGTGGGTATATTATATTCTGGGTTCTACTCTTTGAATGAGTAAATGTGAATTTTGCCGCTTGTTTCATACTGAGAGGTCATGACACGCATATTGATTTTCTGCGGTTATTGTTTCTGGTCGGCATGATTTGTCCTCTGATGCAAGAGCACTTTCTTCGACCTCTTTTGAAACGTAAATCTTTTCCTTTGCGGCTAAAGAAGAGTTTTAGGTTGTTTAGTCTTCTCCAAAGTGCCTCCTGGATCTGAATAGCTAAAGGCGATATTCTTTTGTCCGTGAATGTGATGGTTTCCTTCAATTTATGTCACGCTGGGCCCAGCTCGTTTAGTATTTTCTGCACGATGTTAGATTTTCACCGAAAGTGATTTACAGATTCAAATTTCGAGGAATGGATTATAGGAAAGCATTTTGTGAAGAGAGATTTTTTAAGTAAAAAGAAGTCGGATCCTTAGATCGATCGTGTTTTAGCTAGCCAATTGCAATTTTCATATCCTGTGTTAGTTCGGATAATTCAGTAGGTTAATCTCTCCTCTCCCTCTTAGCTTACAGGCGGCGCGCCCAAGTTTAAGAGGTGAAGAGAGATTTTTTTCAAGGGTAAAAAACCCGTAGCTTGAATCGATCATGTTTTACTATCTAGCCAATTGCAGTTTTTATGAGCTATGTTAGTTTGGATAATTCAGTAAATTTTTCTCTCCTCTCCCTCTTAGCTTACAGGCGGCACGCCCAAGTTTAAGAGGTGAAGAGAGGTTTATTTGAATTGAAACACTCGTAGCTTTAGTCGATCATGTTTTATTAGCTGGCCTATTGCAGTTTTTATACGCTGTGTTAGTTTGGATAATTCAGTAGGTCATTCTCTCCTCTCCCTCCTAGCTTACAGGCGGCGCGCCCAAGTTTAAGAGGTGAAGAGAGATTTTTTTCAAGAGTAAAAAACTCGTAGCTTGAATCGATCATGTTTTACTATCTATCCAATTGCAGTTTTCATGCGCTATGTTAGTTTGGATAATTCAGTGGATTATTCTCTCCTCTCCCTCTGGGCTTACAGGCGGCGCGCCCAAGTTTAAGAGGTGAAGAGAGATTTTTTTCAAGGGTGAAAAACTCGTAGCTTGAATCGATCATGTTTTACTATCTAGCCAATTGCAGTTTTCATGAGCTATGTTAGTTTGGATAATTCAGTAAATTTCTCTCTCCTCTCCCTCTTAGCTTACAGGCGGCGCGGCCAAGTTTAAGAGGAGACGAGAGATTTTTTTTCAAGGGCAAAAAGCTCGTAGCTTGAATCGATCATGTTTTACTAGCTAGCCAATTGCAGTTTTCATGCGCCATGTTAGTTGGGATAATTCAGTGGATTATTCTCTCCTCTCCCTCTTGGCTTACAGGCGGCACGTCCAAGTTTAAGAGGTGAAGAGAGATTTTTTAAGGTAAAAAACTCGTAGATTGAATCGTCATGTTTTAGCTAGCTAGCCAATTGCAGTTTTCATGCGTTGTTAGTTTGGATAATTCAGTAATTTTTTCTCTCCTCTCCCTCTTAGCTTACAGGCGGCGCGCCCAAGTTTAAGAGGTGACGAGAGATTTTTTTCAACGGTAAAAAACTCGTAGCCTGAATAGACCATGTTTTACTAGCTAGCCAATTGCAGTTTTCATACGCTGTGTTAGTTTGGTTACTCTTTCCTCTCCCCTTGGCTTCCAGGCGGCGCGCCCAAGTTTAAGAGGTGAAAGAGAGTTTTTTAGATTGAAACATTCGTAGTTTGAGTCGATCATGTTTTACTACCTAGCCAATTGCAGTTTTTATACGCTGTGTTAGTTTGGTAAATCAGTAGATTATTCTCTCCTCTCCCTTTTGGCTTACAGGCGGGGCGCCCAAGTTTAAGAGGTGAAGGGAGATTTTCTTAAAGTGAATAGTACATAGCTAAAATCGATCGTGTTTTAGCTAGTAAATGCAGCTTTTTTTACATTGCTTTAGTTTGTATAATTCGGTAGATTTTTCTTTCCTCTTCCTAATGGCTTACAGGCAGCCCGCCCATTCTTAAGAAGCTGTGATAAAGTATAAAGTAAGTCACAGCTTGAATCGATCGTGTTTTAGCTAGTCGTTACAGAGTTGTTGTTTTTGTTCATATTTTGTTTTTGTTAGTGTATATAATTCAGTAGATTTTTATTTTCTCTCACTCTTATGCGATGCGCCCAATCTTACGACGAGTGGTGTTGGTTTCAAAAGCGAAATTTAGTCATTGTGATTTTTTTTCTGATGTACGGCTCTCAGTCTTCAGCGTGATGCCTGTGTTTGATGTACACCGGAAACCGGAAAAAAGCTAGTTTTGTCCGCGGGCGGCAATACTTTAAGTTCGACAGTTTAAGGTAAAATATTAAGATAATGTCTAAATCATTTGTGAACTGTGATAGTTTTTTTTGCGTAAATATCTCTCTTCGATCAAATGTGACAATTAGGCCAGATTTTATACTAGGGTTGTAAAAATTTCCACCGTCTATGTTGAAACCGAACAAACCTCGCGGGTATCCGCTTTGGCAGGTGATCTCCCTGAGAGATAATTGAGTTGTTGTTTTCATTGTTTATTCATCAAGTTCTCAGTTGTAATTATTTTTTCGGTAATATTGTTCTTATTTATTGTTTATTGAGTGGGTCGGCTAAAATTAAAGACGAAGAGTGAAGCTCCAATGCAGAATTTTTGAAGTCTATTTGATATTATGATTTCGACAGTGCACGTGAATAGCAACTAGGTTGGGTGTCCACTTAAGATAAACTGGATTAAGTGTCGAAGATGAAAGATTGCTCAATAAAACGAACATTGTTGACAGCTTTAAGCTAGGTTCAGGGTCTCTTGATGTAATATAACCCTTGGTTCAAAACAATAGACTTGGCGCCTCGCCCTTCAGAAATATGCGAAGATTGCGACGCTGAACGTCGCAATCCCCCGAAAATCGAGCCTGCGGCTTGTAATGTGAGAAACTCTTTAGCTCCTCGAAACATAAAAAGTTTGGGTCACATCGTCCGTTTAGAGGGTCAGCCGTATCTGCAAGACTCAAAAAGTATCTTGAGGCTGCCAGCATTAATGACGGAGAGACCCTTCACAGCTTTCGTGTAAGAATTTCATAAACCCTTAAGGGTTTGGGTTGTACTCCGGAGCAGATTGCCCAGTGCGTGGGTTGGCGGAGCACAGTAATTGCATCGTATTATACGCGCCGCCCCAGTGCTTCTACTTCTTTGCAGTTGATAGAACGGGTTACACTCAATCTCACTTCTGCGGGCTCATATCCGCCCGCCCTGCAACTCTCCGACGAAGAGATTTCGCAGAGAATTTCGTATAGTTGAATTGTATCTTTCATCACTTAGGGACATTCATTCTAGTACACTACGGTGGTTCTTTATGTCATTCTATTGGATATTAACTTGTTGTTAGTTAATAACTGAATCTTTATTGAGTTATGGAGTATCGGGTGTTGAGTGTTAGGTATTGAAATTATAAGGTCGATGTGCTTTTTGGGGAAGAACGGAGACCTAGGTTATAGCAGACTGCCTTAGGGAATGGCAAGGGGCAGATCTCTCTCCCATAACTTAGTTTCACGATGTGTTAAGTGTTAAGTTTTCAATTTTACATTTGCCTTAATCTTAGTCTTTCTCGGGTCTCTTCCTGCCTGCTAAATGCTCAACATAGTACTACATCCTCACTGTTTACCACTTAACACATCGTAAAACTAAGTTATGGGAGAGAGGTCCGCGGATTGTTGCGGAAAGAGGTAGGGGGCAAAAATAGATCGCGAGATGTGAGGAGTTGTCAACCAACACCAGGAGAGGAGGGTGGGGCGAACCTTGATAAGTCGTCTCGGCGGTCGG